TTTTATTTATTTATTTTACTTAACTTACACCTTACATAAGCATTAGCTAGAGAGCTCCATTTACAGCTCAAAACCATGGCTCACATAAAGCATGGTTAAAGCTGCAAATTAAGGACATTTTTACAAAAAAATCTTGCTATAAATTGATAGATTGGTCTATATTTTATTTTCTTTCTGTCCTAAATATGAAACTAAAGCACAGTGATAAAGAAACATCAGTTGTTCTGGTTGAATTCACTTCTCAGTTTAGCAGCCATTAACCATTGCAAGGCATGAAAGCTTTCATCATCAGGTTGAATGAGACTGTGCCACTGTAACTCAGGCGGCCTTTTATTAAAAACAGCACATGCTGTTGGGTTTCAGAGAAGCTGGGAGTGCAAAATGCAAGAGATAAAAAATATATTAAATATCTTTGGTTTGTTTGCCCTTTTGAAATTACTGTCAAACCATGTGGCTTTAAAAGTCTTATTTGTGAGGATGTGGATAAATCCTCTGCACTGATTTCTAACCACCCTGGAGCGTGGCTGTCTGTGGAGCTGTCTGTGGAGCTGTCTGTGGAGCAGGTGGGTGTGGCAGTACAACAAACACCACAGATCCTCTTCAATGGCTCCATCTAGTGACTAAAAGGAGCTTAGTATGTATAGATGAATGGCTGACAAATATTTCTATATACTCAGCAGCTCACCATTAATAACACATTGCTTTAAAAATAAACTTTGATTTGAGTTAAGTGTCAATTCATAATTTATTCTGATTAGTTACCACTAACAAATAACATAAAAAGAAACAGAGTGAATGGTTGTTTGTCTCTATGTGTCCTTGTGATGGACTTGTGACATGTCCAGGGTGTCCCCCGCCTCTCGTACAGTTATGGCTAGACATGGGCACCAGCGACCTCCGTGACCCAAAAAGGAAGAAGTGGGTAAAGATAATGGATGGATGGATGGATGGATGGAAGGATGAATGGATGCATGGATGAATTGCATGTCCTCAGGACAGTAAACATATGTTGCACTTTTAAATGTTTAAAAGAGTGCCATCTAGTGTTGAAAAATTGTACAACAGTGTAAATAATGAATTTACAAAAATAAATAAAATAACTGGACTAAAACGTTGGGATCTTTAATGTTAGTGTTTTTATTGTAAAAACATTAATAGATAAAGAGGTTTTACTCTATGAAATGCTGCTCAATGATATGTTTAAGGATAAATGTTTTTTTTCTTCCCCAAGCCTATGAAATTAGGTGTGCAGATTTTGCTTTCTGCTGAGATAATTATTGCAATTTCCTTAGTTCCTTTTCTGCACATGCAACTCTAAATCATTTATAAGACACATTGCACTTGCTGCAAACTAAAATTTAAGCTTCACAGCCACCTTTATTTGGTTTAATTTTAAAAAAAGGAGGTCATGTGGAAACAAAATGATGTCCGTTGCTGATTTGGGCTAATCAGCAAAACAAAATATTGAAATAGTTTTTTAAAAAATCTAAGCAATTAAAATTATCATAGCAATTCAAAGCACTTGTTACAATCAACTAATAGGACCAGGAACTTAACGTAAAATTGAATAAATAAATGGTTTGCAACTATAGGACACCACAGTCATCACTGTCAAATTCAAATTTCTTCTTAGTTCTGTACTCCTGCTTCTTTATCAATCCATCCATCCATCCATCCATTCTCTTCCGCTTATCTGGGGTCGGGTCGTGGGTGTAGCAGCTTAAGTAGGGAGGCCCAGACTTCTCTCTCCCCAGCCACTTGAGCCAGCTCCTCCAGGGGAATCCCAAGGCGTTCCCAGGCCAGCCGAAAAACATAGTCCCTCCAGTGTGTCCTGGGTCTTCCTCTGGGTCTCCTCCCGGTGGGACGTGCCCGGAACACCTCACCAGGGAGGCGTCCAGGAGGCATCCTAAACAGATGCCCGAGCCACCTCAATTGGCTCCTCTCGATGTGGAGAAGCAGTGGCTCTACTCTGAGTCCCTTCCGGATGACAGAGCTTCTCACCCTATCTCTAAGGGAGAGCCCAGACACCCTGTGGAGAAAAATCATTTTGGCAGCTTGTATCCGAGATCTCGTTCTTTCGGTCACAACCCAAAGCTCATGACCATAGATGAGAGTAGATCGACCGGTAAATTGAGAGCTTCGCTTTTTGACTCAGCTCTCTCGTCACCACGACAGACCGATACAGCACCCGCTTCACTGCCGACGCTGCACCTATCCCCCTATCAATGTCACGCTCCATTTTTTCCCTCATTCGTGAACAAGACCCCGAGATACTTAAATTCCTACACTTGGGGCAGGACCTCCTCCCCGACTTGGAGAGGGCACTCTACCTTTTTCCGGCTCAAGACCATGGCCTCAGATTTGGAGGAACTGATCTTCATCCTGGCCGCGTCACACTCTGCTGCAAACCGCTCCAGTGAAAGCTGTAGATCACGACCTGATGAAGCCAATAGAACTACATCATCTTCAAAAAACAGAGAAACAATCCTAAGGCCACCAAAACGGATGCCCTCAACACCTTGTCTGCGCCTAGAAATTCTGTCCATAAAAGTTATGAACAGAATTGGTGACAAAGGGCAACCTTGGCGGAGTCCAACTCTCACTGGGAACGAGCCCGACTTACTGCCAGCAATGCGGACCAGGCTCTGACATGGTCGTACAGGGACCCAACAGCCCGTATCAAAGGGCCTGGTACCCCATACTCCCGGAGTACCCCCCTCAGGGCTCCCCGAGGGACATGGTCGAACGCCTTCTCCAAGTCCACAAAGCACATGTAGACTGGTTGGGCAAACTCCCATGCACCCTCCAGGACCCTGATGAGGGTGTAGAGCTGGTCCAGTGTTCCACGACCAGGACGAAAACCGCACTGCTCCTCCTGAATCAGAGGTTCGACTATCCAAAGGACCCTCCTCTCCAGAACCCCCGAATAGACCTTACCAGGAAGGCTTAAGAGCGTGATCCCCCTGTAGTTGGAACACACTCTACGGTCCCACTTTTTGAATAGGGGGACCACCACCCCGGTCTGCCAATCCAGGGGAACTTCCCCCGATGTCCACGCAATATTGCAGAGTCGTGTAAGCCAACACAACCCCACAACATCCAGAGCCTTAAGGAACTCCGGGCTAATCTCATCCACCCCTGGGGCCCTGCCACCGAGGAGCTTTTTAACCACCTCGGCAACCTCAGCACCAGAGACTGGAGAGCCCGACCCAACGCCCCCAGGCTCTGCTTCCTCAGTGGAAGACGTGCCAGTGGGATTGAGGAGGTCTTCGAAGTACTCTGCCCACCGACCCACGACGTCCCGAGTTGAGGTCAGCAGCACACCACCTCTATTATAAATAGTGTTGGTGGCATACTGCTTTCCCCCCCAAGACGCCGGATGGTGGAGCAGAATCGCCTCGAAGCCGTACAGAAGTCATTTTCCATGGTCTCTTCGAACTCCTCTCACGCCCGAGTTTTTGCCTCAGCGACCACCCAAGACAAAGTTGTTCATCGAACAGCGGCCTAGGGTGTCCTGGTTCCAAAAGCACATATGGACACCCTTATGCCTGAACATGGTGTTCGTTATGGACAATCCATGACGAGCACAGAAGTCCAATAACAGAACACCACTCTGGTTCAGATCAGGGGGTCCATTCCTCCCAACCACACCCCTCCAGGTCTCACTGTCATTGCTCATGTGAGCGTTGAAGTCCCCCAGTAGAACAAGGGAGTCCCCAGGAGGTGCACTCTCCAGTACCCCCTAAAAGGATTCCAAAAAGGGTGGGTAATCTGAATCTGGGCTGCTGTTTGGAGCATAAGCACAAACAACAGTCAGAACCCATCCCCCCACACGTAGGCGGAGGGAGGTTACCCTCTCATTCACCGGGGTGAACCCCAACGTACAGGCACCAAGATGGGGGGCAACAAGTATGCCCACTCGGCGCCTCTCACCAGGGGCAACTCCAGAGTGGAAGAGTGTCCAACCCCTCTCAAGGAAACTGGTTCCAGAGCCACAGCCATGCGTTGAGATGAGTCCGACTATTTCTAGCTGGAATCTCTCAACCTCACAGACCAGCTCAGGCTCCTTCCCCACCAGTGAGGTGACATCCCACGTCCCAATAGCCAGCTTCTCTAGCCGAGGATCAGACCGCAAGGGTCCCCACCCTCGGCTACCACCCATCCCACATTGCACCTGACCCCTCCCACAGGTGGTGAGCCCATGGGAAGGGGGACCCATGTTGCCTCTTCGGGCTGTGCCCGGCCAGGCTCCATGGGTAAAAGCCCGGCCACCAGGTGCTCACCAGCGTGCCCCACCTCCAGGCCCAGCTCCAGAGTGGGGCCCCGGTGACCCACGTCCGGGCAAGGGAACATTATTTCCATAGTCTGTATTCATCATAAGGGGTCTTTGGGCTGCACTTTGTCTGGTTCCTCACCTAGAACCTGACTGCCTTGGGTGACCCTACAAGGGGCATGAAGCCCCTGACAGCATAGCTCCTAGGATCATTGGGACACTCAAACCCCTCCACCACGGTAAGGTGGCAGCCCAGGGAGGGGTTCTTTATCAATTTGTTTATACTGTATATTTAAGCCTGCATTAATTATGCTATATTTAAGATTTTCAGAAACCAGATGGTATACATACTGCAAATAAAAATATTTAAGGCCTGCTTTAAGAAATGTATGTTCTCTGAACATAAATGTCCATGTTAAAATGTGACTTAATGTCTTTTTCTTCAGTGGTTTAAAAGCTATTCCAAACAAAAAGAAATACAGTAAATACAATAAATTACATTTTGAATAAAAAATATATACTAGTACAAAAAAACAATTCAGTCAAAGTGTTAATTTATTCCACAGGTCAAATTGAATTCATTACAGTACACCAGACAGTTGTCCATGCAACTAATCCCTCGTCACACCCATATATTTAATTGTCACTCTCAAAATACATCCACATGACCCATTTTAAAGGTCATATACTGTCAACAATGTTTTGCACAAAATATAAAACTAGCATCTGTCTTTGACATCAATACACAGTGGCTGCAATATTACTTCTCTCAAAGGGATGTTTATTTACACAAAGTAGATTCTATGCAGTGCATAGTTCCCATAAATTTCTCCTTGTAGTGATATTGCATAATAAATACGAACCAATCTTTAAGACTGACCATTCAGAGCAGAGTGCTAACAGGTGAATACTCAGTTAAGACAGAATAAATAAATCCTGACAGTGTATGTGCACTCGGTCTGTAAAAATGGTCTTACGGACGAAACAAGTCGCCTCACAGATCCTGAGAAAGCCTCTCTGACCAGCACCCTGCTATAAAAAGGAGCCAAACCAGTCAGCGCCAAAGATGTGTGGCTCATTAGTTCCTGTCCGTCAGGCTAAATGCTGTATTAAAACTCCTCGCACATGAAAAGGCTTAGCCCCGCTACATCCATGAAACCACGATGGCATAAAACGGAGTGGTAAAATCATATGAATCTGGTTACAACACTCAAAGATACTTCAAACTCCATCTTCTTGTGGACAATTCAACCTTCTGCTGTTGATGGCTGCAGCAAGTGGACGCTACTTTATATCGTTCTCTGATGTGTTGTTTTAAAAACTGTATATTCCTTGTTAGAATTTCTAATTATCAATAAAATTCAGTTTCAAAATTTTGAAAGTGGCACTATGACATCAGGTTACATAAAATTGTATTTTACATTTTGTGAGACATCAGCTGATCTGTGCAGTTCAACATCAGTTTGAATAAAAGAAATAAGTCACCATATTGTACTAAAAACTAATATTTTGAATGTGTAGTACACAGAAAGCCCAGACCTGTTGTATATTTTTCCTAGGGCTTATATTGGGGTTATAGCTCCAAGTCATCTGCCTTGTATGGCTGTCAGAGAGCTATGAAACTAATGTGCTTCACACTTCTTCTCTAACCAATCTGCTATCGGCCTCAGTTCAGGTTACTTCAGGGAGCGGCGACACTGCCTCCAAATGATCTATACATTTGAACGTTCTCTCCTGCATTCTCTTTCTTTGGTTCGGTGCAACTATTTTTCTCCATTTTGCTTTTCAGTTGTGGTCGATTCTTTCATTTGCCATCTTTATTCACCTTTTTTAATTACCTCCCTTATCTTTTCCCTCAGTGTTGCAGGAGGAAGTTAGTTGCCATATTAATATCGTTATTTGAAGCTCTGAGGGCCTCGAGGGCATCGATCCTGGAAAAGCCCATTTCCACCAACCGTGCAACCTGTGGGATAAAAATTAAATCAGTTGGCTGTAAAAAAAAAAAAAAAAAAACATTCTTCGGACTATAAGGCGCACTTAAGATCCTTTAATTTTCTCAAAAATCAACAGTTAGCCTTATAATCCGGTGTGCCTTATGTATTAATTCTGGTTGTGCCTACCTACTGACCTCAAACCAATTTTACGTGGCACACGGCGCTCAAAAATCTGTAAAAATGAACTTTTTATCGCTCAATGCGTCTCATAATCCAATGCGCCTTATGTATGAAAACAGACCCGTACATTGATATTGTGCCTTATAATCCGGTGCGCCTTATGGTCCGAAAAATACGGTAATCTGCCAGGGTGGCTAGCCAAAACTGTGGCACAGATGAACCAGAACAACAAGTTTGGCAATAAATAGATGAGTATTGTTATAAAGAATTACAGCAAATGGTGTAAACTAAATCAGACAGAAAAACGCAAACATGCCAGCCCACACCTGCTCTTCTGCGACAGGGGAGTTTTCTAGTAACGATGGCTGCGTAGGTGTCTGAGCTTGAGGGTGCGGCTGCACTGGAGGTCGGTTTTGTCCTCTCTGCCTCAGGGACGGAAAGAGTCTGGTCCACTGCAACAACCCAGCCTACACAAACGCATCAAAACAATTTTCAACTAGAAAAAAAAAAATGCAATTCCTGTGAAAATGCAGTGTGAATGCAGAATGAATATGCTGAAAGATTCGGAAGAAGCTGAAACTAAGCTGTAAATTTTCAATCGCTGAACTGCCATGTTTAATATGAACAGTTGAAAATGTAGCCAAAAATAGTTGAATGATTTGCAGAAACGCTAGCAAACAAAGAAATAACATTTCAAGAGTTATTTCCTTGCAAGACAACGCATTGTATGTAGTATGTGTTAGTATGAAAACATGTGCTATGTGCAGTATTAAAAATAACACATAGTACATCCTAAAATATTTTATTTTGAAAAGTGTAAAGATTCAGCAAGTCAGAAATGTCAGAATAATATTTATGTTAAATAGGAGGCATAATGGCATAAAGAACCACTAGACTGAGGAACAGCTTCTACCCTGAGGCTGTTAGACTCATGAATCTCTAACCAGAATAATCACTGTGAAAAATCACATCATGTTGCTGCTGATCTGTTTCATGTTGCTGCTGATCTGTTTCATGTTGCTGCTGATCTGTTTCATGTTGATGTGTTCAATCGTGCTCATCTGCTCACACACAGACTCATGTTCGTGCTGCTGTTGGGCGTATTGTTTTTATTGCGGTTATGCTATTAGTGCTTAGTGTATATTTAGTTGATGTTTTTCTTAGTTCATATCTTAGATGTTATTACTGTTTTTCTTTTACATTTTATTGTTGGATGTAACTGGGACACTGTGTACACAATTTCGCTCCACGTGTACCACCTGTGGTGCGAACGACAATAAAGAATATCTGTATCTGTAATGTGTCTTTTTTTTATATATATATATATATATATATATATATATATATATATATATATAT